TAAGTGGGACTATCCGAATTCCTTTTTGTTGCGTTGTTGTTTATTCCATGCATTGGCGTATAAAGTCTTTGGGGTAACCATTGCGGGAAAACAATTAAATAGATAATTGAGCTAAATTCGATAGGTTTTTTCATCAGAGCATTGTGTCTTCGCACGACGGAGCAATGCTTACCCCGAAGACGTTATACATCGATGCATGAAACAACAACAACAACAACGCAACAAAAAGGATCCAGATGGTTCCAGTCAAGCGCCCAAAACAAATACATGGCGAATCCTCCCTTATGTAAGGAATACGTCTGACCTTGTTAAAAGGTACTGGCGGAAACACCAAATAAAAGTGGCGCACAAACCGACGGCTACTTCACGCACCCAGCTTGTATACTCTAAGGATAGGCTTGGCTACCTTAACAAGAGAGAAGTCAACTACAAAATCCAGGGCGGAGGTTGTGATACAGTCTATTGTAGCCAAACAGGGAGATACGTCTTCACACGCATCCATTAGCACCAAATGGCCGTGAAGAGACGTGACCCTTTGTCTGAAGTAGCTATGCATTGCCTCAACACATGAAACACCTTTGCATGGAATAAAACATGCATAGCCAAAGTTTAAGTCTCCAACAATGGCCGATAATGTCTTGAGGCCATGCACTCCAACGATTCATGCATCAATCGGCACATAAAATTATATGGTATTTATGAACGCTAGAAGAGAGGAAGGCGGCACGGCACAGACTGACTGGGACCACACCTCTCAATCAGGTCTCACCCCGTAAAACTATTGATTTTTCCGCATGTTTGAAATTTAAGTTGCTTGCTGCACATATCCTGTTAGTCCGAAGACGAGCTGGAGCACCAGACTCGAGAAATGCATTAAGTCAAGTTACGTTATATGCCAAGGAACATCTTCAAAGTTAAATTTCTTGAGATGCGTGTTTTCCAATTTATACGAGTTCGAATTTGAAGACTGCATATGTAGCAAAATTTAATGGAACCATAAATTTCGCGAGCGTTCATCAGCTACTTCCACTCGCTGCATAAACAGAGTTACGAATGTGAAATTACATAATTAAATTCATATAGAAAAATCGATACAAAACATCAAGGTCATTAGGATTGGCCAAGAGGTAATCAATAAAGTAGGAAATTCAAACATTGTGGGCAGCAAAAAACGGTGTAAAAACATCTAAGGCAAAAAGGTGGGAAGGGGATGTGTAAACAGGGAGCCGGTGCTACCAAGGCAGGGTTAGCTTCACCACATGCTTCAGTTGTTTACATAGGTCAGGTTTAAACCGCCGTATGCATGCTGCCTCCAGG